CGTTGTCTATTGAACCCAGATTCCGACAAGCAACTGGGATGTAGGATTAGAGGGCTTAAGACGTTTGTGCATATTGCATGTGTGTGTGTGTGTGTGCGCGCGCGCGTGTGCGTGCGCGAGTTGTTCGAGGAGCGGTGTTTTTGGGGTATAAGACAAGTTTAGGAGTCCAGTGATTACGCCACTGGCAAGCATGACAAAATTAAGAACAATGCAACTACTAGAAGTAATGGTAATGGTGATAGTAATCGTACTAGCAGGAATAGCCATAGTGACTGTACGTAAGGGATTTCGGGGAAGTCGACAACCGGGCTTGGACATGATTCGGATTCAAAAAAGAATAAGGCGCGCCGGTCTACCAGCCCACTCCGGAAACGAAACATACTGCACTAAACCCAAACGCTGAACCCTATAAGCCCTACCCCTGCTTCAACAAAAATCGGCTTCAACTTCAACCCCAGCAGCCCTGTAAACCCTAAACTCCCTTTGCAGCAGGCTTACCTGCCTTAACCCTAAACCCCCTAAAACCCCCAAAACCTGCAAACCCTAAACCCTATAACCCATATAAACCTCCGAGATCAGGTAACCTTAAACCCCTAAAACCCCCAAAACCTGTAAACCCTAAACCCCTATAAAGCTCCGAGGTCAGGGCATTACCCGGAGAGCTGCTGTCCGCGGTGCTGTCGGAATGACCTGCGCCGGCCCGGAACTAACCCTAACCCTCCAGGTACCTACTACATGGGGTCTTAGGGGCTCTACCTTAAGAACCCAAGACCCACTTTTTTGTAGGTTCTTATTATAAACCCTAATATGGGATTTATAGGGACCCTACAAAAAAGTAGGTTTTGGGTCGATAAGGTAGGACCTTATATAGGAGGTGTGGGGGGTTAGGGTAATGTACCGGCCTTGGTGTGGTAGGGTTTCGACTCTCACGCACAAGTTATGTAGGGTTTAGGGGGTAGAGGCCTTACTGGCTATAGGGCTTGGTGTAAGTGTCATGGTATACAAGGAACCCTAAGGAATATCATTATAATATCAACTACTATTAAAGCCCGCATAGTCCCAAGCCCCTGAAAGCCACGGATACATCTGAAACGGCGTTTGTCTTCTGGAATGCTCGGCCCAGATTCCTCTGTAAACCCCCTTTTTGTTGCATCAGGACTTGTGCAATCGCCTGAAGGTCTGAGCATACGTAGGTTCAGCTCTCTGTAACCCCTTAAAGCCATGAACCAACAAAGCCAACAAGACCCCGACAAAAAAACGGAAAGCCCATCCGGAACACTGGCCTCGGGCTTGATCCTCCTAAGCCGGTTTCCCCACCAGATCCGAAGACAAGGGTCGGGCCCGACAAACTCTTGGTCCCTGCTACGTTGGTCCGGGGCTTCGGCTGTGAAGGTTTTTGGGGTGTTGTAAGAAGTGGATAGGGCTGGGTTCTTGTCAAACTTATAATTGCTATGGAGCTTTATCCAGACCATGTGGAGTTGTAAGGTTGTTATCAAGGTGTTTTCCCTCCTACTTGGCAAGGACGAGCCCACATGGCAGGGCAGTTTCGGTTGCAGGCTTCACCACCACTTTCGGTGGAGAAAGGACGAAAGAAAGCGCATGTGTTACAGGGCTATCGGGTTTACAGGGTCCTTGCCTCCTGACTCTCGGCTGGCTCTCTTCAACCCTCTTTCTGACAGGCTCTCGGCAAGGTAGGCGCCAGCTGTCGCCAAGGCCAGCACCTTTGTACTACCCCTAGATCTCCAGTTACTTAAATGCTAGGTTTCTAACTAACCATATTATACAGACCTCAGTAACCCAGTATTTAGGCAGCTGAAACCCCAAGGAAAACGAATGGAACCACTTGTTAGAAGGCTCCGCAAAGCAACCTTTGCAACATGAGTCAATCCAACCTGAGGGGTCAAAGTGCAAGTTTGGGAGATGCCGATAGTCTGCATTGCAATTCCTGCTTGGTTTACCTTCTAGGATCCTAAATACAAGTACTGGTTATACCAAAAAAGGGAACTACAATGGGGACTGTAGCGGGGCGACTCCTAGCCACTGCCTCCATGATGTCATCTCAAGTAGCCATGTTGATACCAACTTCGGGATCTGCCGGTAGCAATTATTCCAAAACCCCACGACCCATCGACTGCTCCCTCGGTCGTAATGAACAGTCGGGAAGCAAACCGGCTGAAGCACCCGGAATTACAACCACCAAATCAACCAGGATAATGCGGGAAGGGGACCAAGCATCCAGGCAGCCCGTAGGCCAACTTTACGGCACTGTAAACTAACCGTGCTTCCCCGACGTTGACATCATATGCACCCTCGTTTAGGGCCTACGAGGTTTGGGGATTATGGGGCAAATTAACGGCAGGTTGTTGCAGACCTTTTGCCAGCTGTTCCTTACACGCACATGATGAGCCCGAGTGTGCTCATATTGTGAGCCTTGACCCTCAGCAACATAAGCCTGCAGCCTTCCCAAGTGCCAGAACCGAACCGCTTACACTAACCACCTTGGGCTCATCATACCATACTACTACTAGATCCGATTAAACCGTCACTCATACTATGTCCTAGTGTACTGGACTGCGCAAAGATAGATTCTAGTTGGCACCCCCCGACCCCCCAAATCCAAAGGTCCGGGGAACTGTGCAAGCGGCCACGAGGCCGAGCCACCAACCTCTGCTAGGTGCTATAAGGGTTACTATAAGGATCTATCAGTGTTCTATAAAGTATCATAAGAGTTCTATGTTAGAGGGTAAAGGATTTAGGGTGTAGGGTTTGGATCTTGAAGGTTGAGGAGGCAGGGTTTGGGACTCAGGATTTACGATTTGGAAGTTGTGATTTTGGGATGATAGGTCTTAGCCGGTGTTGTTGCAGAATGGTACTCTGAAATTTGAGGGGGATGGGTTGGCATCTAGAGGAGTAACCAAATAATATCCAAGATTGTTCTGAGCGGAGGACTTGCAAGTTTAGCATAGAATTGAACAAAAGTCCGGCTTATGGCAGGCTGGCGGGCTGGCTGGCTGGCTGATCCTTGGTGCTACAGCACTCTCTTGTCTGCTAGGCTGGGTTGAGGTGTGCGGTAGAGCCGATTGGCTCTCTCTTCCTGCGAGGTTGGGCTGTGCCTCAAAGCGCAGACAGACATGTGCCCTGCAAACACCCAGGCCCGCGAAGCTCCAAACCCCAATCGCTAATGACGCCCATCAAAAGAAGAAGTCCCACAAGCTCAAGACTCAGTTTCGAAGTCGTGCTTAAGACTTAAGACGTACAGGGGCTTCAGCCTGCTTTCGGATGCAGCCCAAGATCCTTCGGAGTTACGAGAGATGGCCTCCTTCCCCCCTTCTTGTTGAGGACCTATACTCCTATACTAGACTAGGCTTGGAGCTACCTGGACCCTGGAGAACCTACCTTTTTAGGGCTCCTTATTATGATTTCTTTATATACGTCCTTAATAAAGGTCGGTTCTTTGGGGTTAAGGTAGACATGAAACTCCAAACTCGCCCAGAAGGACAAGGCCCCGACCGCTGCGGCGGAGGTGACACCTTTCCAAGATGAAGTGCTGCTACTTACAGGGCTCCCCAACCCAAACCACGCCAGAAACTGGGCTTATAGAGACTCTGTTAAAAACCTTGCGGTGCTAAGGGTTGAGGTAGTGTAGGGGTGTTTTTTGGCGACGTGTTAGCCGACAGTGGAATCATCACTGCACGCTGCAGGAGTGTTGCAGGGCTCCTCTTGGGGAGGGGAGAGAGCTCTGAAGGCTCAAGGTACCTTCAAACATAACCCACTCAGCCGCGTGCTCGGCTCTGAAACCTAGACACTGCAGCCACAAAAGAGCCCCATCACCAGAGCCTGGCAGCACACGTCCCCCAATGTGTGCGCTGCATTTGGGAGCTGTCATCTTGCCAAGTTTCAGTTGTCAGACCAACGTTTCGGGAACATCAGACCATCGTTTCAGGAACAATGCTCTGGTTGCCTCACACAGTGACACAGTCGTGACCCCTTTAAGTCTGGGTTCTTACGGCCTGGCACCTCAGCGCGAACCGTACACACAGGCGTTGACACCCTGCGCATTTCCGGCCTCGAAATCCTGCCCTGCCGAGATCCTACTCTAAACTCAGCAGTATACCGTACGCAGCCACACCATAAATGCCACAAGTCCCTGCTGCGCATTCCTACGACCTCGTCTTGCAATGCAAAATGATCACAAACTATTCATCTCGAATAAACCCGACAAAACGCTCCACAAGACGCTCCCCGAGCACACCCTTGTCCCTGAGTCTCCCGACCAGTATGCGCTGAAGCCGAGGCAAACCCCAATGATGGCGCCCACAGCAACTTGAAGGCAAGTATGCCTGAGGACTCAGAGACCTTTCCCGAGAGCCACAAAGTTCTACAGAGCTTACGTTGGAATATCTTTGGGTGTTTTGGAGCCAAGGAAGAGAGCGCAGTAGGGGATCCATGAGCATTGTAGTTATCAGGAGACCCCGACATCCAAGATGGACCGTGTCACGTGGAAAACCCTCTCCGCCCAATTCAAGTACCTGCTGCAACCATACCGCCCATTTATAGGTGCGACGCTTTGGTTAGAGCAGAGAACATAGTAACACCGCGTGGAGAAGCTCTGTGTCTGGCTTCGAGCTGTGGGTTTGATTGCAGATCAGCAAGCCATAGACTGAATCGGAACAGGGTGTGTGGGCTTAGGTGCACGTCAATCCTGAACTAGGCCTCTCAGCTCCCAGCTGTGCATTAACAATCGCATCAAGCTCAAAAGCATGGCTAGGTGAGTTTCGTTCAACAAAGACTTCTGCAACATTGGAAGGTTCAGGCTTACACCCCCACACCTCCGACATCACAGCATTAGCAACTCCAAACCCAGCATCTGCACGTGCCCTTGCAGCCAGCCCTAAACAATGTAAACCGCATTGATGTGCACATCAAAACCCGAACTTATTCAGCCCTGTATCTAAAAAATACCTACTCAACCCAAAGCACAAAACACCTGAGCCAAAGGCTGTGCAATGCTCCGTCCGCCGACGCTGACCCGCAGCGGCCCCCCCAAGCGGGTCCGGGAAAGCATAACCTTCATTCATCTTTATATTATACTATACTATGCTGGGTAAAACACAATATCATGAACAGAATATGTTAAAACAAAAACATACAGTACAACAAGATATACGGGTTTCGGGGCTTACAGCTTGGCCTTCTGAGTTATGAACTTCGGTCTTGGCATTGCGAGGTTTGGGGAACCATCGCCTTGGATCGAACAAGTCCCGGCATTTTGTCGTAACTACTATAGGGGCCTGAATAATTAGAATAGGGTGTTGGGGTCCCTTTTAAGGGTTCCTTTAAGGGATGCATAAGGGCTACTACAAGGGTTTCGGGCTTAGAACCCTTAAATACTAGAATAGGGTTTGGGGGGGGTATACTATACTATCACTATAATACGGAACCTATTTTACCCCTATACTTACATACTTCGATAAAACGGTAAAACGAAACGGTAAAACGAGATTCGAAAAAAATCAAAAACCCACTCCATGCGAACACCAAGGGGCCGCAGCAGCCAAGATCCTCTGGGGGGATCTGTGGTCGTTTAGGCTCTTTGGCTCGGCCCTAAATGGGGTTCAGGGTTTAGGGTTTAGGGGTGGCTCGTTTTCAGGTTTCGGTGTGTCTTGATGGCCCTTGTCAGGCTTTGGGCGTGATTTCGGCCACTGTGACTTGGTAAGATGTGCATGCAACGCTTTGGAGCCTCGATGCGATACACACTGAAAATCTGAACCTCGTACGTGTTCAGGGTGTAGAAATTATGAACTATAAGCCGTGCAGGAGCTGAAGCCGGAAGCCCTAAAACAGACAAGGGTGTTCTTCAGCTAGCCGGCCGAAAGCATACCGATACTGATGTCGAGCAATCAATAATCAAGGGTTTAGCGCAAATCCCCAAATAATGGAATACAAGGCCATGATGCCGAGCATCCACACATATGCAATGGCGCAGACTGTGTGCGCCGACATCGCTGCATGAACGCTCACGGCAACCATCGAAACCTTAGTCACCACTAGATCCGGCACCGAGCTAACATAGGGGTCTTACAAAGCAAACTGGGACTTAATGGTGTATAATACGGGGGGCCCTTTACAACTTGAATGCAGATAAAGGGACGGTACATAAGGGGATGCCATTACATGCCATTACTACGGTACTTATCTTGACTGGTGCAGTAACCCCAAAGTCCTGGAAGACCATATAAGGCCAAACTACGGTTTTATAGGGGGACAGAAAATTCAAAATTAGATGAGTTGTTGGATTAAGTGGAGCTTGTCCAGTTTGCCAGATCTGTGCGTGCATACCCAGGTAACGACCACGAGGGATTCACGCTTACTTCCTCTTGCCATGCTTGCTATGACCGACTAAGCAGACCGTACAAAACAACTAAACTAGCGGAGTGTCATTAACAGAGTCAATAGAGTCATGTTGATAATTGTGGCAAAGCAATAAGCTGCATAATGCCACGAAAGCACGGCAAAGATGTCTGTGTGTATACGTATGTATATATACGTACATACATGACATACATACATACATACATACATACATACATACATACATACATACATACATACACAATCATACACACATACATATGTCGTGGGTTGCAAAACGCAGAACCCACAGCCTCCTCTCCTGAATATTTATACTTATGTTTATGTGTGTATGTGTATATAATTATGTATGTATATACGGGCCTCAATAGGGCTTGTGGTACCGTAGACTGTGGCGTAGTTAGTATACTGTGTGTAAGTGTTATAGACGACATGCAGATAATGGAGCAGTTGCAGTGCAGAGGTCAGGGCTTCGAGGGTCATCGAAACTGGCTAGCCCAAGGTAAAGAGCCCAAACCCATGCTGTCAACAACACCAAGGCATCACAGGCAGGGCACGGTCTCGGGCTCTCGCGCTGCTCTGAGGTCAAGGATGTAGCCTGATAATTCGCAGCCCATCCGTTTTTGCGAGGTTATGCCAGGATTGCTCTGACATTTATGAATATCCTGAGGCATTGCAGACTTGAAGAGTTTGCGGCCTTGTATGGGAACGCTTCGATACGGTTAAAGGTCGCGCTCGGCTATGCCATGCACATGTAGAAACTATTCCGAACGATGGTTTAGCTTGAAGGCCTTCGTCGGCTCAGGGCGAGAGATCCGTACCCGGTTGAGCATCGATTCTCAAATTCTCAAAGTGTTACATGCATGTGGCTGTCCGATCTAGCTGCCCTTCAAGACAAAGAATACTTTTTGCAGGCTGTACGAACGACAGTCCACGACAATTTGGCGACGCTTTGCCCCGGCTGGCCTTGTCAAACCATCCATCCCTTCCCCTTGCTCTGAAGTAAGCAGATTCTGACTCAGCAGTCTCCAAGCTCGAACAACTGTAGACACTCCACAAAGAAGTAAAACACCTTGATGCCCCTAGTCTGGGTTTGGCATCGCTTGCTCGGGATTCAAGGGATTTACTTATTAAGGCTTCCCAGTTTTATACGATTCTACAGTGCCCAGCTGTCAACTCCCACCTATTGCCTATAAAGTAGTATGACATAAATAGCCACTGCCCTCTGATGCCAGCCAAAGCGCATGTCAGGATGGTTCCCAGAAGGCTACTGGTCTGCGCATGTCCGCTGGGCATGCCACTCCTGAGAAATCTAGCTCAGGGCCCTTCGCCCTTGGAGTTCAGGGGTTTCGGGTTTGTGCTGGTTTATAATATGAATCTAGCTCTTGGTGGGGTGGGGGTGTCAGGATTTTCGGGCTTTGGGCGTGCAGGGGGTTTGGGGTTTGAGGGGTGAAGGGGAGCACTCAAGCACACGCAGGGCAAGGCTGGAAGCCTATACTTCTTGATAGGATTCAGGGTTTTGGGTTGTTTAGTGTTTAGGCTCGAGGGATGCCTAAGGCCGAAGGTCTATATGCATTCTATAAGTCTGAACTGTAGGATTTGGTGAATTGTAGGATTTAAGATGTAGACTTCGAGTTCACCATCGGTGCGCTGCCTTTTTGAGCTCCGAAGCTATGAAAACTGCCAAGGTAGTCCGATTGAAACGGGACTCTGTCACTGCACCCACCGACTTCGGGTACTATAAGGACCTTATTGGGTAGAATGGGGTTTTCATGCATGTAACCATGTGAAATCTACAGAAGGACCATAAGAGGATTCTGTTGCTTAGTGATCTTGATATGTACTTATTAAACTACTTGCGGTCGGGGCTTTTGCCAAACTCTTAGAGTCTTAGAGTGTTGGGCTGGGATTGTCTAGAGGAAGAAGGTTCATCCGCATCCTGGGTGGCAGTGCTTCACCTTTTACCCCGCGAGGGGTAAAACTTTGAAGGTGCCCGCGCCCCACTCCAAGCTGTCTGCACTGGGTGCAGCCATATTGGGCACAAGGCACAGAGAACATGAAGGCAAGGCCTTCGAAAATTACTCGGCCGGTCCACTGCAAAGCGTGTTCCAAATTGCAAGCATGGACCAATCGAAGCCTAGGCTTTGTTGTGGCGTCTAGGATGCCTATGCTTTCTCGCAGCAAAACGACCTTCCGAGAAACTTGCGTTGTCATACTCTTTGCAAGGACTTCCTCATAGCGACACTCACATGGTCTCCTCAATCAGGCCCTGGCCGATGGTGCGTCCGCCCTCTCGCATGGCGAAGCGCATGCCCTTTTCGATAGGGGTGCCGGCGATGAGCTCGCAGGTGCAAGTGATATTGTCACCCGGCATGGCCATCTGCACCTCGTTGCCGTCCGAGCTCACCATGCCTTCAATCTTGCCTGTCACGTCGCAGGTACGGAAATAGAACACAGGCATGTAGCCGGGCATCACCGGATTGGAGCGGCCACCCTCGTCCTTCTTCGCAAAGTAGATGTTGGCCTTGAACTTGGTGTGGGTCTTGGTCGCACCCGGGGCGCAAATCACTTGGCCGCGGAAGACAGCGTCCTTGTCGATACCACGGCACCTAGTTCATGGTTGGGGTACAATTAAAACTCCAAAGTCTCTGTTCCTTGTTGGGTTTAAGTATCCATAAAAACGTAAAGTGTTACCTAACTATGACCAAGGCTGACAAAGGCACAGGACTCCCACAGTGTAGCCTGCTGGGCCCTCTGGGAGGTCGGTGTTGAACATGCGGATTCCGGTGATGACGGACTTCTGGGGCTTCTTTCCGCGGCCCAAGATCTCCACCTCGTCACCCTTCTTGACAATGCCCTGCTCAACCCGGCCGGTGCACACTGTGCCTCGGCCTGAGATGGAGAACCTGGGCTTTGAAGCAACTAGGGAGAACAAAATATAGAAGTTTATTTCATAATGGTTCCTTTAAGGAACAGGTACCAAAAAAAAGTATTAAAGTATGGTACTCCAAAGCCCAGGAACACATCCTCAACTGCCAGCAGGAAAGGCTTGTCAGTCTCGCGCTCTGGGGTGGGGATGTATTCGTCCACAGTCTCCATGAGCTCAAGGATCTTGTCGACCCACCTTAAACTACCATGATAACCTACTTTTCTGGGGTTCTGGCCATAAGGCCCTAATGTAGGAACCTGATCAAGAAACCCTGCCCCTATAACCCCCAAATAGTAGGATTCATGTAAAAAAACCCTGATAAAGACCCAGGGTTTCTTAATCAGGTTCCTACATTAACATACATAGAACCTTATTAAGGGCCCGGCGAAACTGGATTGTGTCGGTTCTAGGGTCTACACCCTAAACCCTAAACCGGGTTTAGGGTTTATATGCTCTCACAACTCGGACAGGCCAGGCGAGGATCCATAGGGTTTCGGGTTTAGGGTTTTTGGGGACGCGGCAATAGAGGATTATGGTAGGTGAAGGCACTTGCCAACTCGTGTTGGCTGTAAAAGTCTGAAGCCCTCTAATATAGGGTTTACAGGGACCGCTATAGGCTATGGTAGGTCAAAGGCACTTGTCATCCAATTTTATGGGTTTATGATTCCAACTAACCCCACGATCGATTTTATAAGTACCCTACAGCAGACTGTGGTAGGTCCAGGCACTTATCATCACCCAAGCCCTCAAGCCTAAACCTGCAAGAATATTCTCAAGCCCTCCAATATAGAGTTTATAGGGGGCCCCAGTCACAAGGCGAGCCTCGAACCCTGAACCTGGTAAGTCAAAGGCACTTGTCATCCCCCTTCTTGGTGCCCGGGTCCTTCTTCATCTGCTCCAAGGCCTGCAGAGCACTTCCCTGGATGAATGGAGTGTCATCACCTGGCATGGATCTGGGGCTTAGTGCCTTAGGGTTTCGGGGTTTAGCGTTTTTAAGGTTCCTTTTCAAGGTGTTGAAACGGGTTTTAAAGCTTCTTTGGTTTAGGGTCAGCCTAGCTGCATCTGGGACAAACCAGTTGGTACAGAAAGCTCCTTTAAGCGGCTGTACCGTAATTCTCACTACATCCCCGAACGATACTCGGTGTGTCTTAGCACCGCCGGGCAACTGACCGACCCCAAGCCACCTAACCCAAACCCTAAACCCTGAAGGACTGAAAGAACCGCCAAGTCACCAGGGAAGCCGTACTGGCTCAACATCTCGCGAGTCTCCAACTCCACCAACTCCAAAAGCTCTTCGTCGTCCATCATGTCCACCTGAAACATGTCTTCCAGGGATTTCACCAGTTATGTATTTAGGATCCTATAAGGTAAACTCAAAAAGGCACCACAATGCAGATTACATACCTGAAACATTTCTTTTGCACCCCTCGTCCAACTAGGACTCAACCCGCATTGCAAGAACAGTTTAGGCTTAGGAGTTTCGGGGTTTAGGGGGTTCAGGCCTTTGGAGTTTAGGTGGGTTTGGGATTGAAGGCTTGAGGGCTTGAGCGAAGGATTCTATAAGGTTCTTTTGGGGCTTCAGGAGTTCAATCTTTAGGCACTTCAGGATTTATAAGGTTCTTTCAGGGCCTGAGGAGTCTAGGGTTTGGGGTGTACCTCAAACTCGCTTATCATCCCCACCCCTGAAGGGCTCACAGCTATAGGGGCTCCATGAGGCCTTTTCAAGTCCTTTCCGGGTTTAACCGCCTCCACCTCACATGGCCTGGAGTCATTGAGGGTGTTTTAATAGAGTTCTAGGAGGTGGCAAAAAGGATTCCATTTATCTGGGGTTTCCGAAAATAGGGGACCCTTCTATAGTATCCCAAATAGGAGGATCCTGATAACAAGGACCCCAGAATAAGGTACCCCCTCTGTTCGGAAACCCCCATCTGCCTCAGAAGGATTCCACAAAGTTGTAATTGTTTTGGAGGCTTCCAGGGGTCTCTGGGTTCATAACCGCACTCAAGAGGCTTCCAGGCTTTGAAGGTTATGGGGGTTTGAACTCGGAGGGTTCTGAAGGGTCCGGATTCATGTCCGCCTCATAGGTGTAGACAAATCCTGTAAGGAGGGGGTCTTAAAAAAGGAGTTTGAGTCGGAGTGTGAGGGATTCGGGACCTAGGACGTATGGTTTTTGCACCTCACAACAAGGCATGTTTCGGGCTTGGGAGTGGGCCGAAAGCTGAAGATCTGGTAGGGATTTCGGATTTCGGGCTTACGCTCTCCGGGCACTATGACACTATGAGATGAGATGCATGGTGCGTAAGTGGCTCGGATTTCGGATTTGAGGTTAGGACTTAGGGCGTACGGTCAGGATATTGAGGCGTGTAGGCTACCTTTCAGATTGCAGAGCGCTGGGCTTATCGGGCAACAAGCTGAGCGCCTTGTTCATGAAGCACACCAGAGCAGGGACGCCAACCTGCTTCGAGAGAAGGATGTGCTCTCGGGTCTGGGCCATAGGGCCATCTGGAGAGGAAATCACGAGGATGCCGCCGTCCATCTGGCAAGCTCCTGCATTCTAAGGCCACTTAGGGCACATAGGCTGTATCGATTATGGAGCAAGAGGTGTAGAGTGTAGCGTTCACAACTGTGACGGCTTCTTGCGGAGGTTAGAACTAGCTAGGGTAGTAGGCTCCTGTGATCATGTTCTTGACGTAGTCGGCGTGGCCGGGGCAGTCGACGTGGCAATAGTGCCTGGTCTCCGTCTCATACTCGATGTGTGAGGCGTTGATGGTGATACCGCGTGCGCGCTCTTCCGGTGCATTATCGATTTCCTCGTAGGACTTCTTGGTGGTGTCGTCGGAGGTGCTGAACTGGCCGCAGACAAGGGAGATGGCGGCGGAGAGTGTGGTCTTGCCGTGGTCGACATGTCCGATGGTCCCGATGTTGATGTGGTCCTTGGCTTGGCGAACGATGGCCGCAGCACGGGACTTCTTGCCGCGGCTGCTGGCTCCGTAGAATCCGGCGGCCCCAGCGGTGGCCAGTGCCATGGCACCCAAAGGCAGCTCTGTGGAGCGACACTCCGTCGCCGTACGGCCGCGCAGGGAAGGCTGCGAAGCTGGCTCCGACACCACGGTAGGGGCAACGAAGTTCTGCGAGCTTGCGAGCTGTGTGGCGGCATAAGCAGCCGCACCGCCAAGGACCAAAGCGGAAGCTCCTGATGCACGGCTCATGTTTCCGAGCGGTGAGCTTTTAGGAGAGCGAGGACCAAGCGAAAGGAATCTTTGAGCTTTGTCAGCCAAAATGGCTGCACATGGTCGTCCAAAATCCCTTCCAAACTGCGAGACTTCCAAAATGGGCTGAAAGCCTGCTTCAGGTGTTCTGGAGGCCCCGGGGAAGACTTAAACTTCTGCCCCAGGATCGAAGATGGTGAGCCCTGAGGAACCTGAGCAATTCTTCCTACTTCTACCATCGTACTGATTGCCACAAGTACTCCTGCTACTCATGGACCACACGGTATCGCATCATACCAGGAATCATACTGGAAAACTGTATGACGGCCTCAAGTTTGTAAGTCAAGCAACCCGAAGCCCTGGAAACAAGACTCCGTGGTTTGCTACCCAGGTGTCGTTGAACTCAGCTTGGGATGGTGCTGCGGATAGATGCCGCCTTAGGAGAATGGGAGGACCCACAGCGAAACATTTAGAGCAGAAGCCGCTCATGCCGCTGTCACCATCCTTTATTAACGTCATGGACAGCCCCTCTTGAGGAGAGAGTCATGTCACCAGGATCATCCTCACTATCAACATTATGAGCGGCACCAGCAGCGACAACAACCTCAGCAGCAGCAGCAGCAGCAGCAGCAGCAGCAGGAAAAGGAACAGGCACAGAAACAGGAACACGAACATCAGCAACAGCAGCAGCAGCAGCAGCAGCACCAACAGCAGCAGCAACAGTAACCGTAACAGTAACAGGAACATTAACAGCATCAGCAACAGCAGCAACAGCAGCAGCAGCCGCAACAGCAGCCGCAACAGCAGCAGCAACAACAAGAACAACCATAACAAAAAGACCACCACCACCACCACCGCCGCCGCCACCGCCGCCGCCGCC